AGCCTGAGGGCTGTGGCAAGTTGAAGGGGCTGCTCACCCAACTCCATCTGGCAGCGCCATACCAATGTGATAATAAGAGATGGGACTGGAAAGAAAGCAAGGGTCGGTAGGACTGCAGGGCCACGGCTGAAACTGCATGGAGATCTGTAGAGAGCAAGAAGTGCCAGGCTGTGAGTAAGCCATGCCAGTGCAGCTGTGCCACTTGTTAGAACTTTCAGGCAGAAAGGATCCAATTTCTGTGGCCAAAGGATTGCTGGGATTATATCAAGGATGGACAAACCAGCAAGGATAAAAGATGCAGCAATTCTGCATTTCCACCCCGGTCTGTATGCACATTGTGAGCCGAAAGACCTAATAAAGGAGAGGAAAAAAGCATTAAATTGGTATTGGTATTCTTCTAATATCCTTCTCCCCCCACATTCTTGAAATGGTATATTTCTCCAATTTCTGAAGTGTATGATGATTCAGATAAAAAACTGCTCTTTCTAGTGTGTTGAGAATATTATGTAATGAAAAAAGAATGATTAATCTCTAAAATTGTGTTTGTGTAGATGTATATTTGAATGTTTTATTAACAAAAAATATTTATTTGGTCTAAATTAAGAAAGTTTCAAGGACGTCTAATCCTAAGTATGTTTTCTTGGGATTGTATTGTTAATGCACTTCAGGCATTGAAGCACTATTGGATACAAAATTTAAAGCAATCAGCAGGAAAAATAATGATTAAATCAGTGGAAACATCTTTCAGAGCAAGAAAGCTTAAACAGGAATTCTTCAATTGTGCAATTGCCAAAACCTATTCATGGATTTCTGTGTAAGGCTTTTCTTTATGTTTTTCTCATTATGCTTCCTTTTTTCTTAAAGAAAGAAATCTGTCAAGGAAAGAAAACCCGAACGGCAGCATAATGTCTTTTGAATGTTAGCACAGAATTCCTCCCCTAGGAAGCTGTTCAGGATACCCCAATCTCTCTCTCCACATAAATGATTGTGTTGAGCATGTGAGTGTATACATGACTAAAAAAAAAAGAACTTTCACTTAATCTGAACAGCTTTGGTCAATCATCAAAGACAGCCTCTCTTTGGGAAAAAAATAGCTTTGTTTGCAAATAGTTAATTGAGTACATTGAGGATGATATGATGGGGTGATATAGGTAAGTATGTCATACATATTTTCTAATCCATACAGATGATCATTTTAGGTAACATAAAATGTTAATTAATAGATCTTTTGTGTGGCCAAATTAATTACTCCCTCCCATATATAATGTGCATGTGTATATAAGTATGTTATGTTAGTATGTTGTTTGTAATATTCATAGAAGATAGCTGCATGCAATTATATCAAATTAAAGGTGTTGTTTTATGAGCCAGGAATTAATTTAGAGACTGCAAAATACCTTGGTGTTCCTATGTAGCAGGCACTTATTACAGCAAGGATGACATGAGGAGCCACATTTAAAAGCATCTGGTTAAAACAGTGTCCAACATTGCTATGAACCCAAAGAGGAAGTGGATCCAAGGAACTAGTCCCACATAGATCAGCCAGAACCTCTTCCATCTTACGACCAGGAAAATATAATAACAGTCAAGGAAAACAATTCCTAAAGAAAAATAGACTAAATAAATAAATAGATATTAAGCAAGTATTATATTGCTTTAATTGTTGTTGGTTTTACATCGCCAGAGACACATTCAACTAGATGGACGAATTTGCTCAACAAATTAATAAAATATAAACAAATGTAAACTTTGGGAGAAATGAAGGCTCCCTGCAAAGTATAAGGATCGATGCCCAGTTTGGTTTGATAGAAGCCCTTTAAGGAGTAACAGGTTTGTAAGATTTCTAAGGCAGACCAGAAAGCTGGAAAAAAATGTTCAGGAAGAAAGCGGTAGCGGACCGTATTGCTGTCAAGAGACCTATATAGACCAGCCCCGCTTAAACCACCAGGGTCAAGTCTTCCCAACCGGTAACTACGAGCTCTACTCTTCCCCTGCATAGCTTTCCGGCATCAGCCAGTCATTCATGCCGGAGGCGTAAAAGCGGTATCTGCCCATTCGCTCTGCCGGGGACTCATAAAACTGCCTTGACCAGAATGCTTCTGCACGTTACAAACGCTGCTGCTTCGCCCCGGAGCAAAAGGCCAGCTGTTAAAGGAGAGATCGAGGGGATATAGGCAAAACTCCCACGAGCCAAGAGGCAGTCGAAACCACCCCGTATATGCCCGGCACAGACACCTCACATTCACACCTTCCGTGATTTCGGTTTCATGGATCGGAGGATCGATCTGAAACACTTCCCTTCATGGCGCCCGCTTCATTCATAAGGAAGAAAAAGCCGAGCCGGAATTCGAAAGCCGGATTTCTTTCCTAAACCTTAACATTGATCTTATAAAAGTTTCCTTTTGGGAACGCAACTTCCGGATTTCTTTTGTTTGTCTTGTTTTCCTTGGGCTCTAAGAGGATCGAAAGAGCAAGCTGGTGACGGAGGCAACGGGAAATCTAGGATTTTATCAAACTAGAATTTCCCCCGCTTCTGGGGAAATTCTAGCATGTTTTTTTAGAAAAAGAGATTTGACAACGGAGGACACTGTTACGATTTGATTAAGAATTGACTGGTTCAAATAAAAATTCGAGGTTACACATGGTTTCCTTGATTAAACATTTTTCGGAGAGAAAAGTTTTGTGTGGTAGGTTCTTTATTTGTCACAGCCAATGTCTTAATTTATACTGCTATGCTGAATTGCAGAAAAAAATAAGTTAGCCCATGTCAGCTCACCTCATGTTACATTAAATCTTATGGCATCATCTTCATAATAGTGAATTTCTTGAATAACCTTCTACTGGACAGGAAATGATAGGTGTGATATTCTACATTTTTTTTCTCTATGAATGTTTTGTACTCCAGATGCTATGGTATTTATTTTCCAGTCCAGCGGCCTCTGCTGTTTAGAATGATGTACTTATACTAGCACAGAGCAGACTGGATCAAATGTTCATTTACTGAACTGCACTTTCTGGATAAAAATTAAAAAAACTTAGCATACCTTTTTTTACCAAGATTGAAGAAGTTGCAACCAAATAATTAATTTAGGCCCCCTGAAGGGATCCTAGTATTTAATTCTGAACACTTCAACTAATGTTGTTTACAAATTAGTACTTGTACAGGCAAATTTATAATTTAAATTTAAAAAAATCTAAGGCTTGGAAAGGTACCTCATGGATTGCAGGCAGTTACATAAAGCCTTTCTCATTTGCTAGGAAAGCTGATTGTGGTATAATGTAAAATTATGTCACTGAATTTTGGTGGAAACTATGTGTGCAATATAATACAATAAAATATAAGAATATAACATAATAGTCTTAGAATTGGAAACAAGTTAACTAATAGAAAGTAGTACAAATGTAGGATCATGAAGGCAATTTATATACTTCTATATCAAAAGCACAAAAAGATCCTTTCCGTGGTGAAAGGATCAGCCAGTGACATCACCATTGCTCAGGGCACCTCCGCTGGGGACTCCTTTGCTGTCCCCATTAAGTGGTACTCATTTATCTACTTACAGTCACCCCCTTTCGAACTGCTGGGTTGGCTGGAGCTAGTGTGGCAGGAGTTCATCTTGTTCTGCAGCAGCAACTGGGTCTCAAATGTCTACCTGCTGTTAGCCCAGCACCCTAACCTTGTGAGCCACCATACTCCTAATTTATAATAATACCATACACAGGTTGAAATTGGCCACTTCATTAAAAAATACTTTTATAGTTTCCATTTAGATATATTTAATAAATTCTGCTGATGATGTAACGAAGGGCTTTGGGCAATTCCTATTATGGCTGTACCTGGAGGAGATAGATCTTTGATATGCAGAATAAACTGGCTCAGGCCTTAATGGCCCATTGACAAAGGTGGGGAGGGGGCTGAGTTTCTACTTCTCTTTTAGGGGAAATATTCTGCCTTTTTAGTATATCCTAAAATATTTCATTTTTCTAGGAGAAGGGTGGGTTATAACTTCCAACAATTCTAAATGCAGTGTTTTTTGGTGTGCTTTACTTCAATCTTGGTAAAGTCTGCATTCTTAGTGGTCACTGGCACACTCACGTAAAATTTGAATGCTTTGTGAGCAAGTGTGTGTGTGTGTGTATGTGTGTCTATCTCCCACCTTTATTATTTTTTATAAATAACTTAAGATAGTGAACATACCTAATATTCCTTCCTCATCTGGTTTTCCTCATAACAACATTGTAAGGTTTGGGCTGAATGAAGGAAAGTGACTGGTCCAAAGTCACCCAGCTGCTTTCATACCCAAAGGGCAATAGAACTCACTCTAGCAATTTCTAACCTAGTTCCCTAACCACTATACCAAATTGGCTCTATATATAATATCCTTTTGATAAACGAAGTACAGCTCACTAATTCCTATCTGCACCTGCAATCAGAACACAATTCATTAGAGCAAATGACAGCTGGTCAGAAAAGATCCAGTGAACCATTAGACTTTTCCTCTTCTTCTTTTTTAACCATGTTCACAGATGAATTCGTTTATGCAGTTGAATTCTGCAAAACTTTCTGTGAATACTTGAACAGAGTTGAGAGACCCATTTGCAGGTGAGAACAAACGCGCTTACAGTTTCAAGTGGAAAGTTTGCTTGCCTGCAGATTTTACCCCCATTAAACGTAAGTGCAACTAAGCGATACGGTTTCTGCGGACACCACTTGGATAAATGCGTCGGCCTTTTAGGGTGCCACGAAGTGTGGCACGAATCGTAGGTGTCTTACGATTTTCTACACAGCGAGGGAGATCCGCCCTTTTAGAGAAACCGAGTGGCGAAGCATCTCCGTCATCGCGCAAGCCAGGTGAGCGCGGTCGCTCCCCTTCCACCCTCGGCGCGCTCGGTTTGCAGATCTCGCGGCGCCTTCTTCACGCGACACGCACTCCTTTCCCGCCATCTTGAAAGGATGCACGCAGAAAGCTTCCGGACCTTTGGAGCCCGGTGCGCATGCGCGTTCCGCGCGGGGTGGTCAAGCGAGAGTGAGAGAGGAAAAAAAAAAAGGGGTGAACGCGAGAGGGGCGAGAGGCCTCGGGAGCCTTTTTATGCCGCCGCTGTCTCTTCATGATGTACCGTCCCGGTTGCGGCCGCTCGAGCATGATCGCCTCCAGCCGGCCCAAAGAGAACAGCAGCTCAGGCTCCCGATGTTCCCGGTCCGGTGCTTCGGCCACCCTGACCACTGGGTCAGGTCGAGGCCGTAGCCCGCGCCGCTCCCGTTCTCCGTCTCCCCGGGGCCGCCGGCACCACCGCTCGCCGTCCAGCGGTCACTCTTCCCGTCGCTCGCCTTCCCCTCGTCGCAGTAGCAGGGTACGCTCTCCGTTTGGGGTGTGTGGGGGGGAATTCGGAGAAGTCCGAGCGGCTTCGGCCTCGGAACACGCGCCCCGCGTTCCCCCGCGGGCTCCCCGTGTCCTGTGGTAACGGTTCCTTTACCGGTCCGCCTTCAGGCACCCAAGCCTTCGCCTCCAGAGAGCGTCCCTGCTTCCCTTTATGTCCCAGGAAACCCGCTTCCCGCCCGCCAAGACTTATCCCGTGTCGTTTGGTTTGGTTTGGGCTGAGCCACGACTATAAGGTTGCCTGTCGGAAAGTTAATTTCGCCCCAGCACACCTTTAAAAGCAAATGTGGGGAAAGGGCTCCCTATGGAAACCCGGAAAAGCGTCCTCCGGTTGCCAAGTAGGAAAACCAATCGCACGTTACCGAAGTTGGCGCCGGGATGCCGAGCCAAAAATGTGCCTCCTTTTATTTGTGCCCTATATCGTTTTTTTTTAATCGATAAACCGTTGTGGTTTGTGCGGATGTGTTAATGCGAATTAATTACACTTGGCAGGCCATACAAGCCAGGACTTACGTATGACGGCAGCTAAAAGGGCAATTTCTTTTCACCTCTGCTGAGCTCTCAGTAAGGTTTAGAAGTATTTTACCTGACAGATGGAGTCCCAAAGTAATTTCTACAAAATCAATTATGATTATGTAGTTTGTATTCCCCTTTGGGTTACTTCGCTTATCCTGTTCGGTATTGTTGCTACTTGGCAGTTCTGAACTCTCAAAAACCTTTAGTCTTTGGTATTTTATCTTTTTTCTGAAAGGAAAACTGGGCATAGAGTACAATCATAAATGTTAATTGAAAGCATGTGTTAAATAGGGCTTACTTTTCTAATAAGAATTTTGTGGTTTCATTATAAATTTTGTGGTTTCATTGTGATGGGTCTAGGCTCAGTGCAATATGTAAATGCATTCAATAAACCATGCTTACAACAAGTCAGTGTTTTTCAGGTTTTTATGTAAGCATAATATTGTACTGCCTTAAGCATACAATTCATTCTTATTTTTAATTCAAATTAAAATGTCATCAGCAAAATGCTGAATAAGGACTGCTTAGAAGTTATATCTGTTTTGTAAACCATAGTTACAGAAAATATTAGATTTTTCTATGGAAAATATTTGATTCTTTTATGGAAAAGAATATTTATCATCACAACTGTTTGCATAGACAGTGAGGACAGACATTGAAATTAGGGATAGCCATGTGTGAATAATATTTAGTAAGAAATCACAGGTGGTGCAGTTGTGTGCCACTTTTGCACCGCTAAGGTGTGTGGTTCTTTACTAAGATTTTAGAGTCAGTATTTTGTAGAGTTTGAAATAATCATAATTCACTTTAATCTGGATGTTCTACTGAAATTGTAGAATATAAATCCTTCTATGGCTTTATAAAGGAGAGCTTAATTGTTCAGAAACCATAAAAATTCAGTTATACTTTAATATGAGGCCTTTTGTAATATGGTTCAATGTGGTGTTTAAATCTATATTGTAGTTAGATTGTGGGAAATAAGGAATGCCTTATCCACAAGTTGGAATGTAAACATGATTTGTTTTTAATTGCACAACACAAGGAAGAAAGGGGAGGTTTGCTTGCCAGCACAAAATTTTCTGGTATTCATTCCAATTGTAAGTGGGAGTGATAAGTTGAACATACTTTGTTATGACACCTGAAGTGGATTTCCTGTGTGAATACCATACATAAATTATATTATGTGAAAGTTGTTAGGGCTAATGTAGTTCTATAGTATTTTTAACCCCATTCACTCATGTCTGCTTTTCAAAGTCTTCTTGAATGAGTCTCTGCAGGGTTTTTTTGGCAAGTTTTTTTAATAGTAGTTTGCCATTGCCTCTTTCTTAGGGCTGAATGTACTGTAGTGCTGTAACTGACTCCAAGGGCCCAAGCTGGCTTTGTGCCTAAGGCAGGAGGAGAATTCACCATCTCCCAATTTCTAGTGAGATGCCTTAATCACTACACCAAGCTGGCTTTCACTTCTATAGTATATAGATCTGACTTACATGCCTACTGTAGTAAAAGTATTGGTTGGGATCTTGCAAGAAAGAACCTAGAGAACAATGAACCTTCTTTAACCAAATGAAAGATTCTTGCTTAAAGTCCAAAGCGTCAGATGAATTCAGTGGAATTTCTCTTTGTATAACTAGTCGAAAATCAGTGATCCAAGTTGTTGATTTAATCATTGTACTAAGTGCTCAGCCATTCAATCTGAAACATAATGAAATGTGGTTTCAGGTAACACAGTATACCTGAAGGCATCAAATGTCATTTGCAACTACAGTCACTGAATATATACCACATGCTAAACCAATCATGTAACTCAGCATAATACAAGAATCCAGATAAGATTTTACGTACTTACAGAATTTCTGTACAGCCATGTTCTAGAACAAATGGAATGTTTTAAAGGCAGGACTGAAAAATACGGTGATTTTTTTTTTTTGTAAATTTTATTGGTTTTTAAAAACAAACATAAACAGACAAAACATAAAAACATCAAACTTTCTTCCATAAGTATACAAGCAGTGTGCCGGTTGGTTTACAAATTATTTTCTGCATCCATTTCGTAGTTTTCAGTTACAGTTACATTGCATAATAGCTCATATTATCAATCAAAAATTGAATACCCTAGTGTCATTATTAATTAATCATTTGACTATAGTTTTATTCATTCGTATTTTACGAGATAACCATAATTTACTTAGTTTATTTTATAAGAATTCATATTATCCCCCCAAATCTATCCTAAAAACATTTTGTAGATATAATAAAAAAGAAGTACATCTTTATATATTTATTTTCTAAAAATCTACATATTTCATTATTGTATTTTATTATCTAACCATTGATAGAAAAGGTCCCAAATTTTATAAAATTGTTTATCCTCTTGTTCTAGAAAATACTGGACTAAAATCCACATGTGGTTGGAAAAAGTGACAAAAAAACATATAGATTTGAAACCAGAGATATTTTTACTGGGAATTTTACCTGGTACATATAGCAAAGATTTGAAATATTTGATTGTAAATGTATTAACAGCGGCTAGGATTGTATTTGCTAAAAACTGGAAAAATGAGAAAATACCATTGCAGGAGGAAATCATTAAGAAAATATTGGAATGTGCTGAAATGAGTAGATTGACATTTGAAATTAAAATACGGTGATTCTATATCCAGCTCAGAAGTTAAAAATACACTCTAGTGACATGAGAAGGGCCATAAATCTATTTTCAGTAATATTAAGGAGTTTAACAGATAGATTTATAATCCTGATGGTACATTACACAAATGTATTGGATTGGTTATATTTATGAAATTGTACTCAGGTTAATTATAGGCTTATATAGATTAATGAATATTTCTGAAGTAATGTGCACTTTTTTCTTGCCATAACCGTGTTAATTGTCCACCTGCCTTCAACTACATCCACTGCAGTTTTTTTCATTTTGGGTTTTACTATATTCTGCTCAATTTACCTTTAGATTTTGCTTCTATCACTAAATTATAATACTGTGGCTGCACAACTCAACTTATAAATTAGAATCTCAGTAAAGCTAAAGGTTTCCCCTTTACTGTAGGGGGTAGTGCACATCTCTGTTTCTTCGCTGAGAAGCCAGCATTGTCAGATACACTTTCCATGATTATATGCCCAACGTAACTATATGCTGAGGTGCAAGGAATACTGTTACCTTCTCATCAAAGTTGTGCCTATTTATTTACTCACATTTGTATGCTTTTGAACTGTTAGGTGGGCAGGAGTTGCGGCAAGTAACAGGAGCTCACCCCATTACATAGCACTGGGTTCTTTTTTTTTTTTTTGAAAACAATTTTATTGTTTTTTAAAAAACAAACAAAACAAACAGAACACAAAAACATCAGCTCTCTTACATACATATATACAAACAGTGTGTCGGTTGGTCTATCAGTTTTTGTGCATTCATTTCATAGTTTCAGTTACAGTTACATTACATAATAACTCATTATCAATCAAAAAATATATATCCTAGTATCACTATTAAAGAATCATTTGACTATAATTTTATTCATTCATACTTTATGAGATAACTATAATTTATGTAGTTTATTTTATAACAAATCATATAGTCATACCAAATCTATCCTAAAAACATTTTATAGATATGATATCAAATAACAAAAAAAGAAAAAATATCTTTTTATATATTCCTTGTTATCTAACATTCCAAATATTCTATTATTGTATTTTATCATCCAACCATTGATAGAAAAGGTCCCAAATTTTATAGAATTGTTTATCCTCTTGCTCTCTGATTTCAAATGTCAATCTACTCATCTCAGCACATTCCAATATTTTATTAATAATTTCTTCCTGCAATGGTATTTTCTCATTTTTCCAATTTTTAGCAAATATAATCCTAGCCGCTGTTAATACATTTACAATCAGATATTTCAAGTCTTTACTGTATGTATCAGGTAAGATTCCCAATAAAAAAATCTCTGGTTTCAAATCTATGTGTTTCTTTGTCATTTTTTCCAACCACATGCAAATTTTAGTCCAGTATTTTCTAGCGTCCTCACAAGTCCACCACATAGGGTAATATGAGCCAGGTATTTGATGACATTTCCAGCATTTTTCAGATTTATTCTTGAACATTCTTGTCGGGGAAAAGTGCCACCTGTAAAACATCTTATACAAATTTTCTTTATAAGCTATTGACATTGTCATTTTATAATTTTGCGACCACAATTTTTGCCATTTCTCTAAATCATTTCCATATCCAAAATTCTTCCCCCAAGCAATCATAGTTTCTTTAACTTGTTCTTCCTCTAGTTTAATTCCCAGTAAATAACCATATAATTTTTTAATCACCTTTTCATCAGTACCTGAGAAATTCTTATCTAGATCAGTCAGTTTATCATAAAATCCCTCTGTTTTAGAATCTTCATCATACCTTGAATGTATTTGCGCATATGAAAACCAATTCATCTTTATACC